GCTATTATTTTCTCCCAATCTGAGGGCTGTCTTTTCACCTTGCTTATAGTTTCCTTTGTTGTGCAAAAGCTTTTAAGTTTCATTAGGTCCCATTTGTTTATTTTTGCTTTGGTTTCTAAAATTCTGGGATGTGGGTCATAGAGGATCCTGCTGTGATTTATGTCGGAGAGTGTTTTGCCTATGTTCTCCTCTAGGAGTTTTATAGTTTCTGATCTTACATTTAGATCTTTAATCCATTTTGAGTTTATTTTTGTGTATGGTGTTAGAAAGTGTTCTAGTTTCATTCTTTTACAGGTGGTTGACCAGTTTTCCCAGCACCACTTGTTAAAGAGGTGGTCTTTTTTCCTCGTTGTAGTTTTGATTTGTATTTCTCTAATAATTAGTGAAGTTGAGCATCTTTTCATGTGCCTTTTGACCATTCACATGGCTTCTTTGGTGAAATATCTGTTTGAATCTTCTGTCCATTTTTTATAGAATTTTTTTTAATATTGAGCTGTATGAGCTGTTTGCATATTTTGGAGATTAATCCTTTGCCAGTTGCTTTGTTTGCAAATATTTTCTCCCATTCTGAGGGTTGTCTTTTTGTTTATGGTTTCCTTTGCTGTGCAAAAGTTTTTGAGCGCAATTTGTTTGTTTTTATTTTCAATACTCTAGGAGGTGAATCAAGAACGATTTTGCTACAATTTATGTTAAAGAGTCTTCTGCCTTTTTTCCTCTAAGAGTTTTATAGTGTCCAGACTTACATTTATGTCTGTAATCCATTTTGAGTTTTTTTGTGTGTATATGGTGTTAGGGAGTATTCTAGTTTCACTCTTTTACATGTAGCTGTCCAGTTTTCCCAGCACCACTTATTGAAGAGGCTGTCTTTTCTCCATTGTATATTGTTGCCTCCTTTGTCAAAGATAAGATGACCATAGGTGCATGGGTTTGTCTCTGGACTTTCTATCTTGTTCCACTGGTCTATATTTCTGCTTCTGTGCCAGTACCATACTGGCTCTATTACTGTAGCTTTGTACTATACTCTGAAGGCAGGGAGTCTGATTTCTCCAGCTCTGTCTTTCTTTGGGGTAGTTTAGTACATAGCAATAAATAACTGATATGGATGTCATTGTGAAGTCCCTGTCTTTAAAAACAGGGATGTTCACTATGGTTCCATATAAAGAAAATCTCCAAATTCAGCAGGAAGCAGACTAATCCTCCAGTTGTGAAACCATTATACTAAGGATAGTTGTTTAGTTGAGGTCAATAAGCCATTGCAGTTTGGTTTAGTACTATTTTCTACTGCTTTGTAAGTTTCTAAGTTTATTCCCTTGCTCTTTTAAGAATTAACTTTAAACGATTGTGTTAGTCAGGACCCAGGCAGGAAAATTGAAATCACCACAGTTATTTTTGGGCTTCCCAGTGGCGCTGGTGGTAAAGAATGTGCCTGCCCCATACAAGAGCTGCAAGTTCAATCCCTGTGTTGGGAAGATCCCCTGGAGAAGGAAATGGCAACTTACTCCAGTATTCTTGCCTGGAGAATCCCATGGACAGAGGAGCCTGGCAGGCTACAGTCTATAAGGTCACAAAGAGTTGGACACGACAGCACAGATGTGCACATGAGGTTATTTTAGAGAGAATTTAGTTGAAAGAACTGTTTACTGATAACTCAGTCAGAAAGCAGCCTCCATCCCTAGGGCTTGAGGAAACAGAGGAGAGTAGAATTCAAAGCTTTCCATTGGGGGTGCTAACTGGGCTGTAGCACATAACGCTGAAGGGACGAGATGAGGCTGGCTCTGAAAGTGTGGAGGGACAAAAAAAAAAGCTGGTAATGAGCCAACCACTGCTACTGCAACCAACTGAGGGTCCCGAGTGAAAGTTGCCAACCTTTCCTTCCTGTCACTTGCACACAGGCGCACTGTTTCCTCCACACCCTCCCAAGCTGCCGGGAGGAGCAGGCAGAGCAGAAATGTGGTTTGCACAGTCCCAGACCCAGTGCAGCAGAGCTGAGAGATGACAGCTTGATAAACAGCGCAGCGCCATGGCTCTCCTAAGTTAATGAATTACTGGTTAGTTAGAAGGCGCACCGCCTGCGGAGGCCTTGCTCTGTGTTGTTCACTGTAGTAGGAGCTTGTAGGGGATGTTGTGTCACTGGAGGTTCCCTTCCTGGGACTCTGAGGTTTCCTAACACTGCAGCCACTGCTACAAGCCTCCATCTTGCCCAACCCTGCTGCCAACTGAACACCTCCCCACCAGGCTTTCCGCTCAGGAGACCAAAGCCGTTATTTTTGCCCTGCTAATCTCTTGCACTCACTGATACATTCCAATTTATGTTTAACTTTAAATTAGGAAGAATCAAATAAAATCTAAAAAAAATTATTTTAATTTACATTTATTTCTTCAGTCTCAGCAGCCACATTTCAAGAGCTCAACAGTCATATGTGGCTAGTGGCGACCATCTTGAATTCACAGAATAGAGCATTTCCATTATTGCAGAACATCCTATTGGTCAGAGCTGTCCTAGAGCCTTTAAAATGCTCACAGGAAAGAAAAATGCTGATAAGACATTGGATGTTCAAGAGGAAGATGTAGTAGGTGGCATCTCCAAACTTACTTTAACCAATGAGCCCTTTGTCCTCATTGATCAAGACTCAGGAAGCCTATTTTGGTTGTGTGACTTTTTGTTATTGGAGGAAAATTGTTTTTCAATGTTGTCTTAGTTTCTGCTGTACACCATGGATCAGCCGTGTGTATACATGTACCCCCACTCTCGGACCTCCCGCCCACCTCCCTCCTACCCCTCTAGGTCATCACAAAGCACCAGGCTGAACTCCCTGTATACCAGCTTCCCACTAGCTGTCTGTTTTACACATGGTAGTTTATATATGTCAATTTTAATCTCGCAACTCATCCCACCCTCCCTTTCCCACCCTATGTCCATATGTGCTTTCTCTAAATCTGCATCTCTCTTCCTGCCCTGCAAATAGGTTCATCTGTACCATTTTTTCTAGATTTCACCATAGTTAGTGTTAACCACTTAATCGTGTCCAACTCTTTGTGACCCCATAGACTGTAGCCCACCAGGCTCCTCTCTCTATGGAATTCTCCAGGCAAGAATACTGGAGTGGCCTGCCATTCCTTTCTCCAGAGGATCTTCCCAATTCAGGAATCGAACCCAGGTCTCCTACATTGCAAGCAGATTCTTTACCATCTGAGCCACTAGGGAAGCCACATGCATGTGTTAATATGTGATATTTGTTGTTCTCTGTCTGGCTTACTCAGTATGATCATCTGTAGGTGTATCCATGTTGCCGCAAGTGATATTATTCATTCTTTTAATGGCTGAGTAATATTCCATTGTATAGATGTACCATATCTTTTTATCCATTCCTCTGTTGATGGACATCTTGGTTGCCTCCATGTCCTGGATATTGTAAATAGTGCTGCAGTGAACATTGGGGTGTACACGTTATCTTTTTTCATTATGGTTTTCTCAGGGTATATGCCAGGAGTGGGATTGCTGGGTCATATGGTTGTGATCCTGAGGCAGGCACTGGAATTTCTTGGTGTGTTAATGTTTTCGATTCACCCTTTGGTCAATATCACCTCCAAGTTGCTTGTTTATTATAAACGTCTTTGCCAGCACACAGCATCTGCTGCTGCTTCCACACTCCCCTCTCCTCTGCTCAGGATTAGTTTCAAGGAAAAGCAAAGATTTTCCTCTTAGAGCCCTTGATTGACCTCGCTGCCCCCTCTCTCCGACAAGTGCTCCTCCTCCCTGATCACCGCTTTCCCTGTGGCAGCCTCTGGTGGCTCCTGATCCACAGGAGAAAGTCCAAAGCCAGCGGTTTCAGAGCACACACAGCGCACCATGCAGGCTGCACCCAGGCGGCTGCCTCCTTCATTCTTCCTACCCCCTCCCCGTGGCCTGCGTCAGACAGAACTCCTGGGTTCACTGTGTGCTTCCCACCCATGCATGGGCTTTGACTCGAGCCCTTCCCCATGCCTGAAACTCCTGCTTTGGCCACTCGGTCAAGCCTCATGGAAGGAATCTACCTCACTGGCGGCTGCAGCCAGCACCTGTTTGGATCGGCCACCGTGTTCCTGGCCAGGTCATACTTTCCCCACCTACTGCAACCAGTGACCAAGCACAGTGGAGGTACTAGAACCGATGTGGTGCTCTTCCAGTGGGCACCTTTGGGTCAGGGCCTCCTGGGCGGCCTGGCTAAGCTGTCTCTGAGCTCTTCTGCCATCAGAGACTGCCCCCTCCCCTTTATCCTTCAGTCACCTTCTCACAGGAAGTCTCTTGTATGTCTAATTCTGACTTGGTATGTATTCTCAGACGCTCAAATTGACACAGCTAGAGCTTCCCCTGACTCGAACCAGGCAGAATCAGGCACTTCTGCCTGTGTTCTCAGCACCTTCTGTGTACACCTGTTAATCTCTGTGTGTGCTCAGTCATGTCTGACTCTTTGCAGCCCCATGGATTGTAGCCCACCAGGCTCCTCTGTGCATGGAATTTTCCAGGCAAGAATACTGGAGTGGGTTGCCATTTCCTTCTCCAGGGGATTTTCCTGACCCAGAGGTTGAACCCGTGTCTCCTGCATTTCAGGCAGATTCTTTACCACTGCGCCACCTGGGAAGCACTGACTATATCCTCCATCACACTGCCGCCCTGCTCAGCACACCATCATCATGCCTGTCTCCTCTAGACAGGTCAGGCCCCGAGGGTCTCACACTCCAATCCCTCTGTCTGTGCAGCACTCTCAGATGTGTTGACTGAATTGGATCAGGTCCGTTTATCCTTCAAAGGGCTTGAGCGATCCTCTCTCAATATGACTAGTGTTAAAGGCACTCTGCATGTCTCTAGTTCAAGAAAAGATGCAACAACATTTATGCGTGAGATCGGACCCCATCTATCATTAACAGGGGAGTGAAGCTCACACACTTGTTTACTAATGGTAAACTTTGTTTTTGAACAACATGGTGCCCACCATCTTTGTTGTATTTTTTCCCAATAGGCACTCTGCAGTACATGGCACCTGAGATTATCGATCAAGGCCCTCGTGGGTATGGCGCCCCGGCTGATATCTGGTCCCTGGGCTGCACCATCATTGAGATGGCCACCGGCAAGCCTCCGTTCCATGAGCTCGGTGAACCACAGGCAGTGATGTTCAGGGTAAGACATGTTGGGTGATTTAGGTTTGCTGGCGTTGGAGAGAGAGAATTCAAATCAAAAACCTCCTCCCAATGCAGAAACCTCTCCACAAAGGTGGACAAGAAAGAAAATAGGTTTTTTTCTTTTCCCTCTCCTTTCTCTGCCTTCTGCCGGTATCTTACTATCCCAGCTAGGAATCAAACCCATGACCCCTGCATTGGGAAGCAAAGTCCAAACCACTACACCACTTAGCAACTCCCAAACCCTTAGCTTTCTCTTCCCTCCTTACTTTGAGAAATTACTCTCAGTTTACAGAGGTATAATATATATCCTACCAGCGAATGTTGGTAATTTGATCTCTGGTTCCTCTGCCTTTTCTTAACCCAGCTTGGACGTCTGAAGTTCTTAGTTCACATAATGCTGAAGCCTAGCATGCAGGATTTTAAGCATGACTTACTAGAATGGGAGATGAGTGCAGTTGTCCGATGCTTAGAACATTCTTTGGTACCACCTTTCTTGGGATGAGGATTGACCTTTATATATGCTCTTACTTAGGGTTTTCTAGGGTCTAACTCATCAGAAATTAAATTCTTAAATGTCTGTGAAAGGTGTGAGGTACTCATCTAAATGTACCGGTTTCCATACTGAGAGCACATTTATTGAAAAGTTCATCATTTCGCCTGCTGAACTACTGTTCTCTATGTATCATATAAGATGATTACCTGTATATCTCAGCAGATTAAAAAGGGTCATATACAACAGACCTACAATGAACATCATACTCAGTGGTATTCCAGAGGCCAGTCATCGCGGCCATTGCTGGAATCCGGCATCAGCCCTCCAGGGATGGCAGACACTGGGCTTGGATGGCTCTTGTGTGCACCTAGGTGTGCCTCACTGTCCCTTCAATGCAGGTGGGGATGTTTAAGATCCACCCAGAGATTCCGGAAACCCTCTCAGCTGATGCCAGAGCCTTCCTTTTATCCTGTTTTGAGCCTGACCCCCACAAACGTGCCACTGCCGTGGGCCTGCTCCAAGAGGGATTCTTCAGGCAGGTGAACAAGGGCAAGAAGAACCGGATTGCTTTCAAGCCAGCAGGTGAGATCTCCCTGGACAGAGTAGTGGGGGCGCAGTAGGGGTGGGCTTGTCCAAACCCAGGGAATGACTGTCCCTCGGTGTCCTGGGAGAGACACAGGGAGCCCCGCAGGTGACAGTGAGGTACCGTCTCCTCCATTCAGCCTGTGCCTGGGAGGAAGGAGAGAGGCATCACTGTGGATGGGGTCTGAGGCCGGCTCAGCCTCTTGCACCTGGAGAGCCACTGGCTGTTAGTTAGAAGTACAGAGTCTTGGGCTCATCCCAGATCTGCGGAGGCAGAGCCTCTATCTACCCAGGACCCCTGGGTGATCACTGGCGCCCCCAGTTAGAGCAGAGCAGGCTTAGGCCTCCTGGTGGATCGCCTGGCCCGAGGAGCTGCCCGTGCTCACCCGGCTCACCCGGCCCTCCCGGCTGCCCCCGACAGAGGGTCCCCGGGGCGCCGTGCTGACCCTGCCCCCGTCCGGGGAGCTGCCAGGCAGCAGCAGCAGTGAGCATGGCTCCGTCTCCCCGGACTCCGACGCCCAGCCCGACGCGTTCTTCGAGAAGTCCCGGCTGCCGGTGCAGCGGCTCAGCCACCTGCTCAGGTACGGCCGCCCCGCAGCCCTTGGGCACTGAGTGCGTCCTAGTGTAAACGAGAGGCTTCCTGTCTGCATAATCAGTAGGGTGGCCGGCGGCCACTGACATTGCGAGCGAGGCAGGCGATGTGGTCGCTCACTGGCCCTTCCCCTCTTCCTCCCCTCCCCCCATCCCCCCTTATCCTCACCCTGCTACCCATCCTTCCCCTTCTTTCCCTCTCTCCCCGAAAACCCTGGTGGTCCGGGGATTAGAAGAAACGCTAGTCTCGTCTCCTGCAGTTTCATCTTCCTGAGGGTGGGGACGTGGAGGATCGTCTCTCAGCCCCTCCCGCACGGTGCCCCCCCCTCCCCCGCACAGAGACCCCGCCCCTGGGAAGCGGAGGACTGTCACGTGCGTTTGTCCGCAGTGTTCCGGATGAGAGTTCGGCCTTGGAGGACCGGAGCGCAGCCTCGTCCCCGGAAGACAGGGACCCGGGCCTTTTCCTGCTGCGAAAGGACAGTGAGCGCCGCGCCATCCTCTACAAAATCCTCTGGGAGGAGCAGAATCAGGTGGCTTCCAACCTGCAGGAGTGCGTGGCCCAGGTACAGGCCAGGCGTGGGGGCTGCAATCCCACCCCCTCTGCCCGAGGCAGGGTCCCAAGAGAGGTGCAAATGGGCCTGCCACCCCAGAACATTTGCAGTTACAGTAATCACCATAAGTATTTCCCAAAGTCCTCTTTTCCAACAAAAGAGAATACAAAAAGACTCCACTGAAACCTGCCTTTGCCAAATACTGCGGTGAAACCAGACCCTGATGGGGCCGTGCTGCCCCCTGGTGGAAAACGGGCCACATGGCAGCACAAAGCCCAGTTAACCCCCAGCTGCAGTTAGCCTGTTAGCCTGAGGAAGAAAGGCTGTGGGTGAAATGTGACTTTTAACTCATTTTGGATGGGATGAGGTCCTTTTAGTAAAGAGGCCACTGCCCTCTATGAACTGTGACTTCTGACAAGGCCCATTGGTGGTGGGGGGTGGTTGACAAGGGGTCAAACAGGATGGCAGCCCATTCCTCCAGGGAGGGGAGGGGGTCTCATAAGCCTCTAACAGGAAGGATATGGAGGAAGTTCCAGGACCAGAGAAGGTATCTCAGCTGGGGGTTCCCCACTTCCATATGCTAATGGACAGGTTCGTCTAGGTGCCCACAGTACTTCTTCGATGCCCCCGCCCCCGATTTACTCAGTGACTTGATTTTTTTGGTTGGGGGCTTGGTGATCAGAGTTCAGAAGAGTTGCATCTCTCAGTCGGCCACATCAAGCAAATAATTGCGATCCTGAGAGACTTCATCCGCTGCCCAGAGCACAGGGTGATGGCATCCACAATATCAAAGCTCAAGGTGGACTTGGACTTTGACAGCTCATCCATCAGTCAGATTCACCTGGTACTGTTTGGATTTCAAGATGCTGTAAGTGTTCCATTTGGCCCTAAAGAACATGACAAAAGGTAGGACGCCCACCAAAGTGGCTCATAGCTGAGACCGTGGAGTTCAATTACCATCTTCTCCCATAGTATCCATCTCCTCTCACCTGATTACACCTGAATCCAGCGTGCCAGCTGAATGTGTGTGTACATGAGACTGAGACGATTGCGTCTGGCCACAGAGTGTAGGATTTGGGGATGAGCAGCATCTGCCAGCTGAGTAGGTGTGTGGTTTAAGCTTATGTGTCTGCACAAACAGGTGTGAGCTGCTCCAGGCCCAAGACCATGTCTGGCTTAGCCTTGTGTCTCAAGATCCTGCCACAGAGCCTGAGGTTTCCCGGGTGCCCCACAAACATTTGTTGAATAAACCACAAAGAGGCCTGTGCAGCAGCTCCAGTCACTGTACCTGCCCTCTCGACTCCAGTGTGACTTGGGGTCAGTTAGAGGAAGACTCAGTTCAGAAGAAATGTAAATCCAGGGCAGCATGGTTAACACTTCCATCTCAGAGTAGAAGCAAATCTGAATTGGTAAGAATTCCTATTTCTGAAAAAATACAGCAGACCAGAAATCTGGATTTTTGTGATTATAGGTAAATAAAATTTTGAGGAACCACTTAATTAGGCCCCACTGGATGTTTGCAATGGACAACATCATCCGACGAGCAGTGCAGGCTGCGGTCACCATCCTCATCCCAGGTGAGGGCCCCTTTTTGGACATGGTAAATTATGCTATGGTGGGTATGGGGAAGGTCTGCCAGGTCCTCTGTACTCACCAGTTGTTACTCTCCCTTTCCCATCTGGGCTATATACGTCCTTGCAATTAAGGAAATGATGTCACAGAGCCATTTGGGGCCAATATTTTGTGATTCTAAGCACACCTCCTGATGCTATTCACGTGCCCCCCACCCCAGCATAACTAAGGAGCACGCCCGCAGACTAACGATACACAAACAGTGCACTGAGCCTCAGGGCCTGGATCCTTGTGTGCTCAGGACCACCTCCTAGTTGGCTGATGATTTAAATGGCTGTCTTGTCTCTCCAAATCATCATGTGGTAGCTACACAAATCTTTAGCTTTCATAGGCTCTAGTTTTCAAATGTTAGAGCAGCTTAGTACCCAAGTTGATCCTCCTCCTGCGATGCCTCCTAGGAAGGGGGGCTCTGAGGCACTTGTGTTGACAGTGCAGCTTCCTCTCTTTACTCTGCTCCCTCCCTGTCATCCTCTGCCTGCACTCAGCCCAGGCTCCACTCGTGGGAGTGGCTTGTTAAGCCCCAGGACTTCATCACTCTCCACTCCAAGCAGGGAACTGCAGAAAACACACAGGCCTGGGTGGAAGGCTGCTTGTCCCTTTTTAAAACTGCCTTTGCCTAACTAACTAACTTAATATCTTGAAGTTTGTTTCCTTATCTGTAAAGCAGTGTGGGGACCATCTTTTCAGGTAGAGGTAAGTAAAACAAGTCTCCTCTCCCTTCATTAAGGTCAGCAGTCTCCTGATGGAGCATCGCGTTGGCCGGGCCAGCCCCCTAGCCTGGTTTGCTGGCCTGGGACATAAGCTACACCAAGCATGGCCTTGTTGAACTGTGCTTCTTTTCTTCCATGATTTCAGAGCTCCAAGCCCACTTTGAGCCTGCCTCAGAGACCGAAGGCGTGGAAAAGGACACGGATGAGATGGAAGAGGACTATCCCCCGGCAGACCCGCCTGCAAGTGAGGCACAGGTGGCCCGTGGATGGAGCGAGCTGGCTTCAGCAGTTGCCCAGGAGGCCCCACCCCAGCAGCATCTGAGCTTTCAGCTGAGCAAACTGAGGCAGGAGACCAGCAGGTAGGCAGGGGTGGGACAGAGTTGTTGAGTGCTTCACCCAGGTCTCAGAAAGTCATCTTCATCCCCCAAGGAACTGGGCAAGGGGATATTCTCAGCTTCAACTGGGGACCTAGAAGGATGCCTTTCTTTAAAGGCAGAGCATTCCTGGCTACAATAGGGTGTCCCTACTTCAGAAGAAAAGTTGTATACACCCCTGTATAGGGTTCTGTTAGATCTATTTTTTTGTTTTGAAAAATGTGAAAGTTGACAGTATATATAGCACTTCTTTAAAATGGTTTTCCAGTAATTTTAATAATCACCTGATCCATCAAACGTTATATATGGATTCAAAGGTGATTGATTTCCAGGGTCAGTGGGCACCGTATCTCCCTCCGCAAGAGAATTAGTAATGAGATAGCAGCCAGCCTGACTGGGAGCAGCTGATGAGCCCGCGGCTGCTTCATGCGCCTTGTAGCATAGGGACCTCTTAGCTGCTGTTAGGCTCAGCAGGAAGGCACCTGCTGTCCTGAGGAGGGAAGCAGGTCTGTCCCAAGGAGTGTTGGTAAGACCAACACCGCAAGGCATTTTAGTGCCACTCTGGGTAAGTGTTGGCAGTAGTGTCCCTCCCACCTTCCGAGCAGCATCTTTCCTGCACCACCCCCAGCTGTCCAAGTGCAGCAAGGCTTCTATCTTGACGTAGTCTCCAGTGAGGAGGGAGGGAATAGCTTCACCACATTTTCACAACTTGACCTGACTTAGGAAGACAAGTGGGCTGAGTTCTCCTGATCACCATCAGGTTATCTTTTGGTTTATGATGCATTTTGATACAGAAGATACCCACACTGAGCAGTGCTGGCCTTTGTTTACAAGGGGCAGAAACCCAAGGAAGGTGCCCATGTGCAGGCTGAAATCTGACCCTACACCTGGGATTATGCCATTTTTTTAAACCTCTGTTCAACAGATGTTTGAGTTGAGTTGAATGGTGTTAGGCTCTCTGAGTAATGTTTTGTTTTGCTCTAACCAGACTTTTGGAACACCTAGTTCAAAAAGAGATAGAGTACCAGAATCTTCTACGGCACATCCTTGAACAGAAAACTCAAGAATTACACCACCTTCGGTTACAATTCACCTCCAACGGTGAGTGATTTTCCACTTGCTGTGACTTATGTGTGTGAGACCATTTAAAATCTGGCTAGACTACTAGTCAGCCCTGACACAGCTGAGGTTATTCTCAGCTCAAACCATTAAGTACTCCAGTAGATTCCAGAACACTCATCAATAATAAAAAGGAACTACCACTACATTCAAAAGCAGATGAATTGCAAAGAAGCCCACGTTATGATTTCATAAATGTTGAACATTTATACGATACTCAAGCAAAACTATAGGGACAGAAAGGAAATCAGAATGGGTGGGGGAGGACTGATTATAGAAGGCCCCAAGAACTTTTGGGGTAATAGAGAAATTTCTCTATCTTGATTGTAGTGGTGGTTCCTTATCTGTGCTTAGCAAAGTTCTCAGCACTGCATACCTAAAAGGGGTGGTTTACTGACTAAGGTATACCTCAGTCAACCAGCCTTAAGCAATTGGTGCCACCTACACAAGGGCTCCAGCTGCCTCTTGGAATGTGGGGTGGATAAGCTGTGATGCAAAACTCAGTATTGAAACCTATCTCCTCATTTGAATTCCAGTGTACTTTAAGAGACATGATTCCTTAGAAAAGGAATTTTAAAGATTGGAAAACACATTTAAAGTGGTAGATACCGTATCAAACTCCAAACTAACTAAAATATTTATGTATGATACCTTTAATCTCAGTAAAGTGACACCAAGGACTGTGGACTCTTACGCAGTGTGTAGCTGAGCTCAAGCTTAACCCATTTCCTTTTCACAGCACAATTACATTCTGGAATAGTTTATTTCATCCAACTTGCTACTCAAAGACTTTTACTGTTACACATCAGTATACAACATAACACATTTCTAATCATTACAGAGAACTCAGTGTCCCCTCCTGGGTCTCATGAGCAGCGAACAGATAAAGAGCTTGTCGATTGGTTGCAACTGCAAGGAGCAGATACGAGAACAATTGAAAAGGTAAGCTGAGAATCAAACCATTCATAGGCTGTTATTACAAAGCTGCTTAGCTCTTGATGTATGTGATCTTTGTTTCAGATTCTTGAAGAGGGTTACACACTGTCTGATATTCTTAATGATATCACTAAGGAAGACCTAAGGTACCTTAGACTACGGTAAGAATAGCCTCAAAACATTTTGTGTAACAGAAAACGGCTTTTTTGGTGTGGATAGGCTTTTACATAAAAGCAGCAGAAAACAAAGTGCTGGTAACTTTCCCCCTTTCCCTTAGAAAACAAAAACTACCCAACCTCATTCCAAACTCTGGAGTTTCCAAGGGTAAAGTTGGGGAAAAGCTGAGAGGGAGCAGAAACTAAAGGCCCAGTAGGCAAAGTCAACAAACAGACTGCCAGGCTGGGAGTGGAATGAGGAAAGACAGGAGTTGACAGCAGGCTACACGCAAACCCTTTCATTCTCCTCCACTGGTCATCTTTAATAGCCTACTTAGCACAGATGCCCTGGCACCCCTGTACATACCTCTAAGGCCACATCCCACTTGTGCTGGGGTAGAAATTTCACTTCCATATGTGAAGGGAACATATCCCCATTTTAGTTTTTAAGTTAGAGACTGCATTTTTAAGACTAGCCAGCAAAACTAGACAAGTCTAAAAGTACATACTATAGCTTTTGCCATAAGGGCTTCTTAAAGAAGTATTGTGTGGTACTGCTTTGAAGTTATCTTTTCTTATGACTCACTCTAAGGAAGACTTCTGTTTGTTCGTAGCGGTGGCCTTCTCTGCAGGCTCTGGACTGCAGTCTCCCAGTACAGAAGACGGACTCAGGGGGCCCCAGCAAACCAAGATGAGGCTTAATAATCAGCCACGTGGGGGATAGAGGGAAGCCAGAGCTGACATCTTTGTTAAAGCTTCTGTTACATACACACCAATCTTGCTGTGATTCCACAAGGAAAACACCACTGTTCATTGAACAGATTTAAGAACTTGAAGTTCTAAAGAATTATGGGAAAATGTTTAACAAAAAGGCTGGGAATCACTGTTTCAATTATACATTCCATACATTAACTGGAATTGCACTTAAAATTAGAAAAAGATAAAATCAATAAGACTCTGCCTTGTATTTAATAATGTTTGATATGAATGTAAATAGAAACTGTTAAGAAAATAGCTTCATATTTATATTGAATGTATAAATGGAGAAAACTAACTTATTTGGCCATTGAAATGAAGTAGTTATATTTAAACATGGAATTGTCCTCCCACCCCTGCCAAGTTATAATAAATAATCGTGCTTTATTAAGGAGAAATGATGGTTCAGTGTGAACAGGCTTCAGCACCAACGTGCACACTAACAGGGGCGTGTGTGCACACTAGGGTACACTAGGTGAGCTGTTGGGCACTGCGAGGGACAGGACACTGATCCCCCCACAAGGTGGTGGCAGAGTTGGACAGACATACAAGGAATCGTTTTTCCTTTTGGAAACTGAGTAACAATGAAAGTCGCTCACTCGTGTCCAACTCTTTGAGACCCCATGGTCTATACAGTCCATGGAATTCTCCAGGCCATAATACTGGAGTGGGTAGCCTTTCCTTTCCCCAAGGGATCTTCCCAACCCAGGGATTGAACCCAGGTCTCCTGCATTGCAGGCGGATTCTTTACCAGCTGAGCCACAAGGGGAGCCCAAGAATACTGGAGTGGGTAGCCTTTCCTTTCTCCAGGGGATCTTCCCGACCCAGGAATTGAACTGGGGTCTCCTACATTGCAGGCAGATTCTGTACCAGCTGAACCGCAAGGGAAGCCCTTAGTAACTAAAGTATGTGTTAAAACTAGTATACAACTAAATCAAATAGAACTATTTTAAAGAAATAATTTGGAGGGTTAAGCAAACTATTACCTATTTTACACCTATAGAACTAAAATAACCTTATGTGTGCGATCACCTCTTTTAATGCAACACTGTACAAACCACATGCAAACACTATCCCAATCTACACGCCTTCTCTCTATGGGTTTTCCTCCTTGACAAAGTTGAGAACACAAAGCATTCCTTACACTTGCTGCCAAAGAACTCCCTGAAGGTGTGTGTATCTCGCCTTAACTGATGGACTTAAACTTGATCCACTGGTTTGCGCCCCGGACTTCAAAAGGTGGATCATTGCAGTAGATGTGATAGCCGAGCTCTTCCAAAGGCGGTTCTGGATCAGCAGTAGCGAACTGAGCAGCATCCTCAATTTCTTTTCTCACTTCCACATCGATTTCCTAAAAATCAGATTACAGTTCAAGAGATTTGTTTGAAGATACACCTCTTAGGTACCAAGTAGTTCAACTCTTCTACTAGTACTAGAAGTGTACTTAAGGTGCTATTATGGTAAAAATAACAACGATCCATGAAGAAATACTCTGAAGCAGAGACAGAAACATACATCCTGGTGAGGGAACATTTAAAAACCTCAAATGTATTTACAGGAAAGAAGTGTGCTATTGGAGTTTAAAAGCTTCATCAATATGACTGAGGAATGCCCTGTGAGAATACCATGTGTATTTTCCCTTTTACTCACCTAGTTCACCTAAGAGTGGCAGCTTTTTGTGTAGAGAAAAACTGCTCAAAATTTGAGCGAGGCAACTGTTGAAAACCCTTCAAGTAAGTGTACCTTTAATTCTTCAACACTGGCGAGATTGCTGTTCACCATCCTGTCCTTGAGGAGCATGATAGGGTCACTCTTACTTCTAACTTCCTGAATCTCTTCTCGGGTCCGGTAACTGGGGAGGGGACCAGAGTGACAAGTGAGAACAGTTCCAGTAGAGCAGATGGTCTGTGAAACACAGCACCACATCAATACTCAGATCTCCGCAGGAAGGGCAGAATTATACTTCAAAATACAAGAACGCATCCTAACATTCTGTAAGAGCTGCTCTGTCTAAATTCCGCAGTGGCAATTCTCTGGGCTTCTCTGGCATTCTGACAACAGGAGCCCAGGTGCTGTCTGCTTCTTTAATCTAGATGTAGGGCATGAAGGTAGTGATGGAGGCTCTAAGTGGGTGAAGCCAGGGGAGATGGTTTTCTGGGGTGATAGCTGTAACCTTGGAAGCGGGAGAATGCTAACCCGGAAAAAAGTGCGCCTTCCCTTTCTCCTTTAAGACCCCAGAGCAGCATGGCTGGCAAAAACCTGGAGAGGAGGTTTTCCAGTTCTTGAATGTATAGTTGATCCTTGTCCTACATTATCTGAAGTAATACTAAAAGCAAAGGCTCTACCATTGTTTTTTAAACAGCAGAATTACACAAAGTGCTTTTTCCCATAAAAGTCGTTCTTTATAACACTTTCCCTTAGAGCTTTAGCCTACACTCTTAAAGACTTCTTACGGCTTGCTTTATCTAAATCTACTCTTTAATTATGCCACACCCCAGGACTGCAGCATTTCATGTTGGAGTTAGGACTTTTGTCACTATATTTTTTTGACACATCTATTTCAACACATGGAATATCCCTTCTGCTACCTGGTCTTGCACCATACCAGCCAGAAGAACATTTTCAAATGGAGGAATATGCCCTGGGAGCATCTGAGGTAATGCCTACAAAAGGTAAATGCTCCCAACTATACTACTGTTACCATCAGACCTGCTTTAGGTAACAATTCCTCACAATTCCTTCCTACAATTGTTTTTTTATTGGTACTCATGTTAACATGTGCACAATACATAGTGTACAAGTTTCCAGAATGCTTTCTAGATTGGAACCAACTTATTATAAAGCACTGTTTTCAGGCTTAGACTAAACTACTAAATCAATGCATGAAGCCAACTGGTGTCTGGACTCAAAAGTAAATTTTGAAATGCTTTTGCTTTTTCATGTAAGTAGTACCACTCTAAGCCCATCTACTTTGGACACCACACACTGTTTTTCCTTTACCCTACCTCACTCCAGGGTCACTCATGCTGTGTCCATGGTAACGGTAAGTCTGCAGCTCCATCAGTATAGGCCCCTAAAACAGAACCCAGTGGAGGTTAGGTGAGACAATGGGCATAGCCTCAAATATACACCCTATCAACTACTCTGATCAGATCTGAGTTGGCAAGAATTTCTTCTAAGTTGACTGACTCAGTTATCTCTTCTCATTTCTAATACCTATTTACAGCATCTTTCATCCTCCCTATTTTTAAGAGGGACTTATTATCTTAGGGGGCTGCTTTCTGGGTTGTGGAACAGTGATTTAGGGAGAACATCCTCCCACCAGTTCAAATAGCAGTTAAGCCTCTTTTTACGCCCATCTCACTGTTCCCTTCTCCCTCCACTGCTGTAGCTGGAAAGGTCAAGATCCTTAGGACTAAAACAATAAGACTACATAATTTAAACATTAATCTATAGAAAACAAACTTATACTGAATGCCTATTATCTAAGCACAGTTCCGTGCTGGGCACTGTGGGAGTCCCTAATCTCTTCACTCAAGGGGCTTATCATTAAGGTGGGGTGGGGGGGGTGTGGAGGCACATAATGAACCAAAAGGCAAAACAGATTGTCACAAAGACAGGCAGAATGCTGACGGAACACTGGAAGAAAAGATTTACCCCAAATGGGGGAAACATGGAATGTTTCCTAGGATGTGAGCTACCAAGACCATGTTATATATAAAGGGACCCGACTGACTCAAGTGGATCCTGCTTCTATCTTATACACCTCAATTAGCAGCTACCCCTAAATTGCCACAATGGACACAGGAGGCACTTCTTCCTACTTTAAGACAGATAAATGCCATTAGAAATCTCTAGCTTAGAGGCCAAAAAAAATCTTACCTTTCCAGATCTACAATAGGCAGCTGCAAATTTTGTGGCCTCCCGGACACACAGGATATCCATTCCATCTACCTGCCAATAAGTAAGAAAGATTTCAACAGAACACTGTAAATCAACTATACTTCATAAAAGTTCAAAGATAAAAAGGGGAGAGCTTAACTCCAACTGCCTAAAATAGTTTTCTTTTCCTATGACCTGTTCATCCACTAAGAAAATAGAACCCTTCCTTTGATGTGAGCCGTCGGGCCAAGAGTGCCGCCCCAGCTCTACCACAGGTATCCTTACCCTCAGCCCAGGAATAAAGTCGCCTCTCTTGTAGTAATCAGTGCTGGCTGCTGCTCTTTCCACAGATGTTCCCATCCCATAGCGGTTATTCTCACAGATGAAAATACAAGGCAATTTCCACAAAGCTGCCATATTGTAAGCTTCGAATATCTGACCCTGGAAGTACAAATAAAAAGTTCAAGTGGTTTTATTGTGCTGTCCTGGAAGTACAAATAAAAAGTTCAAGTGGTTTCATTGTGCTGTTTTTCTCTCAACTTCATCATCCCCAAAAGCCACTGCTCTACCCAGCAAGAGAAAGCCCTCATAATAAAAGATGAAATGCCTCACCTACAACCCAGATTCTGAGGCAAAGAAGTATGTGTGTATGTGTGTTGCAGCAAACTCATCTCTTTTTGCACCTAAGGAAGTGACAAACCAAATACTTCTACTTGCTTCTGTAGAGCTGACACAGTAGTATAGAGTACACTGGAAAAGACCAACATGTAGAAATGTACTGCAGCTACCTAGTTTTTGGGGTTTATGCTCGATTATAAATCCTATGAGACTCTCTGGATAACCCGTGTCTGAGAATCAGCATCCAGAGCAAGGCCTCACAGAATGTCGGCCACAGACTGGTGATTACTCAGACCGTAACAAAGAGTAGGAAGAGTCAGGGCTCAAAAACTATGAAAGGAGTCTGAAAATGCCTTGGTATTCAAGAGAATGAGTCTGCACATCACAGTACTGGTTGAGGAGTTGGTTTGCAAAGGGTTACAATGTAAACCAGTCCTTCACCACAGAGTCTGTGGAGCACTGACAGAACAAAGGTGTGCATCCTCTTAAGAGTACACCCATACAAATCGCTTGTGAAACAGTGCCAAGATGTAAATCTTTAATGTGGCCACAAAACCAAATTTTAGCCTGCCATATAAATGGCCGTTTCAACTAGTAATTGATACACTGCTTGGCCACAAACTGAACTATGAATATTCAACACTTTGGACATGACTGCAAAGTTAAGAGGCACTTACTCACCTGATTAGCAGCGCCATCACCATACAAAGTCAAACAGACCTCGTCTTTTCCATTATACTTACAGGCCAGAGCAATCCCAGCTCCCAAGGGCACCTAATATTGAGGACAAGCAAGAAAGGAACCACAGAAATCCATGAGGGAAGAAATTAATGCTACGAACGTTAGCTCCTGACCAGAACATGAGATAGAAATGACATGGTCCCTACAAACTCTTCCCTACCCAACCCTATCTCTGCTTACCCCACCCCCAAAATTGTAAACTGGCAAAGTAACACAAGTAACTGCTATTGTAACTGCTATTGTATTATTGTATTCTATTTCAACCATTAAGCAATAATATTTCTACATTGAAAGTTTCAACTATCAATCCTAAAAGCACCCACCCAGCAAACCAAGGGTTAAAAAAAATACCTCAAACAACAAAACCCCAGATGCTAAAACCTTAATATATTAGAAAGTAAACTTAACAATCTAGATATGATTTTATAGCTCTACTTGTTCATTATTTACTAACTGACGAGAACGAAGAGAACGGCACCACCACAGAAGCTGGCTTCAGCTTCGCACTAGGCCCTTAAGACCCTGAGCTCCGCCTCTCTGGGTGCCGTGTGCTGCAGTAGGGAGAGGGCTGCGGCCAGGAGGTGTGGCCATGCAGCCAGGTACTAATAGCAACTCAAAGATAGAGGCGGGGCGCCACTGCTAGAGGCTCTTGCTTACTTGTAAGACAGCAAATACCTAGAAAGGAAAATCTTTAAATCATTGTCCAACTCTGTTAAATGGCCCAATAATAGAGTATGAAAGCAACAGGTCGTTTAAAACACATCATGCCCCCCAAGTACTTCAGAGAGACATCCTCTGGGGTACAAAATATTGCAAAGATGTGGGCTAGGGCCCAACCCAGGAAATGATGCAATCCCAGTCCTCAGCTACCTGAGCTCCCACGATGCCATTGCCTCCATAGAAATTCTTGGCATACATATGCATCGATCCTCCTTTTCCTTTAGCACAACCACCTCTTCGTCCTATACATGGCAGCACACAAACGTGACATATCAAACACCAAACATAGAAAACAAAACCACATTGCAAGTATTTGTGCCGGCTTGACCGTGAGAAATCAAGAGACCAACTCGACTATATAACCACATGTCCCTCAAAGTAAATATATAGTCCTCCTAGTCTCCTGGCCCTTTTATAAGGAAGGTTAGACCAGTCCCATAAATCTTTCCAGCTCTCAAATCACCAAGTTTTCTTTAGATGTTAGTGTGGTATTCTAGACGGTTTTTTTTTTTTTTGGCCCACTAAAAACATCTTCCAATTTCTCCTACATTGGTGTACAAGTCAAGGGGGACAAAGGTACTAATAAGAAGACTTCTACAATTTCATTTCTACTCAATGAAATACTTATACTCAATTTACTTTCTCTGGCTACTAGATTTCTGTTGGCATGCTTGAGTGATAAACACTACTCTGATTTTATGGAGCTGACCTTTTTACCCAAGAGGCCAGATAACCTCAAAAATGGTCAGTTTACTCAAAAACATGATAGAGGTACCAGAGCACCCAAAGGGAGAGGTTATTTTTTTCCTGGTTTCTCAGCTTTTTAAAAAAAAAATCAAAAAGGTTTTAATTTTTAAAAAGTTTTAATGTTATAAACAGCATCTTTTCTTGGAGATTTGAAAACTTAATTCACTCAATTCCCCGTTTTTGTAAGTTAATAGCAAACCTGTAAGCTCTGCGAGAATCTCCCGAACAGAGAGTCCACGGGTAAAGGTAAAGCCATGAGCCCGGTAGGCTGTGATCAGATGGTCTGTGGGGTTGATGCCAGCCTCCAGGCCTACACAACAAGCTTCCTGCATTCAAGGAAGAAGCATCAGTGAGTCAATACAGTACACATTTCTAGTTAACAGGCTTCCTTGACTATTATGAAACATTTAGCCTAGAACGCAGTCATAACCACAACAAGTAGCTCCTTTTTCACCAGAAAAAAGGGTAAAGGCCAAGCCACAGCCATAAACTGGCAATCCACAGATATGCTGTTTCTTTTAAGCCTGTACGGCAACTTGAGAAAATCCTCCATCAGACGTCTACATCAAAATATTGGGGGAATTTCACATGAAAATGGATACTTCTGTCTTCTCTCGAAGACAAATAATAGGAAACATTAGCCCCGTATTTTCACATGGCACCAACTGGCTGGTATCATTATGACTTATCCTGCAGGTGGGACCTGTCTGTTCCAGTTCACCACCAATTCCTGTCACCATTCTCAACTCTTCATATAACTGGCAGCCTTCACTCACTTATTCTACCTAATTGGTCCCTGGTAGGCATTTGGTTTTATAAACCTTGTTCGAAACCCACAAAACAAAACAAAAACCCAAAAACCCTTTTCTCCAAAAGTATATCCAGTGCAGGTGATTGTAATGCCATAGTGGAATAGGAAATCAGCAGTGTGATACATGACTAAATTCTTTAGCATAACCATCCTAGCAGGTCTCCACAGTTTCATTTTTGTTCTAAAATACCAGCCTCAAATCCTCAGACAAGTAACATAGGGTAACAGCCAAAAAACACACACTATACTTAAATTCCAAAGTAACATAGCTTTCTTATAAAACTACCACTCACCTGACCATCACACAAGTGACAGAAACCACGAATAATTTTCTGTTTATACAGCTGATCTGCTTTTAACTCCATTCGGCGAACGGTCTGCATCATCCTGTAGTATTTGAGCCCGTCCTCCCTGGTAAGCACTGTAGTGACAGGAGGGCCCTCTTCCAGCCGGTGAAGATCACATTTCTGAAATGAAATCAGACAATTATCCCTCAGTCACTACAGTGTAAATATTGCCAACCCATTTAAGCTGTAACTCAAAATAGTTAAATATTTACAATCTTTACTGTTTTTTAACTTGAACACCAGCAGACAAGCATATCAGAAAGGCTGCACATTGCTTCTGATTCTTCTTAAAACTCACTGTGCAATGAAATGGGGTTTTGGAAGAAGGAAATATTTAATGACTTTCATTGAAAACCTCTAGGTCAACTGAGTTATAGGTTCAAAGACAAACTTTCAAAGAATCATTCTAAGAATCTTCTTATTCAAACTTTTTACCAAATTACATTTAAAATCTTAGAGTAGGTCTTTAATTTTTTTTAGCTTGAGCTCCTGCTCAAAACTACCAACAAGCTGCTACATAAAAGGAGTAAATTCTAATTTTTGCTGAACTCCTCTGCATCTTTGATTCTAGAACACTTGGAATGAGATGGTGAAAAAGCATGATTATCAAAATGCTCTATCACAAAGGTAAAACTACACATCAAAATCTACCTGTGGAAAAAATTCAACAGAAAGCAAAACACCTCTTACCTTAATTTCAAAAGTAGCATCATTTGCAAAATTACGGGATGCCACCAGCACTCTGCTTGCCTTGAAAGATCAAAACACACAAGTATATGAGTACTTTTCACTGTCTGGTTGTTTTTTGAGTTATTATTCTCACTAATCAACCATCAGGACGGAGCCCCAGAACTCGAGGGTCTGACACATTCATGGGCTTTATCTTCCATGCTGGTCACGGTGTCAGGACCCTTTCTTCCAAAATGCTTTGGCCAAGGAGACACAACTGTACCCACATCTGAAGGCGAACAGTAGAGAGAGAAAGGGCGTAAAACCCAGACCCATCGAGTTTGTCACTTTGTTTTCAAAGAAATTAGTGAAAATATAATGAGGCTAATGGTGAACTTGAAGAGACTAGATGATCTGTGGGATGTGTTTATTTATGCAATTCTTAGTCATAACTAGATATATTGGGCAAGCTAAAGCTTTACTTTCAGAACTGTCCTTCACATAAACCCATGTTTCAATTCCTGTCTCAGGAAAATCACTTCTGTATAAAAGAGTACTATAAGAAAAATATTTTAAACTATTCAAAGCATTAGATAAACACCTTAGTGAGAAAACTGAAAATTGCTCAGTCGTATCAGACTCTTTGCAACCCCACAGGCCGTAGCCTGCCAGGCTCCTCTGTTCATGGAATTCTCCAGGCCAGAATACTGGAGTGAGTAGCCCTTCCCTTCACTCAGTCGTATCAGACTCTTTGCAACCCCACAGGCCGTAGCCTGCCAGGCTCCTCTGTTCATGGAATTCTCCAGGCCAGAATACTGGAGTGAGTAGCCCTTCCCTTCCCCAGGGGATCTTCCCAACCCAGGGATCAAACCCAGGCAGATTCTTTACTGACTGAGCGACCACTAAAGCCCTTTTAGCAAGAAAGGTACAAGAGAAAAGAAAAGATACTCAGCATTTTCTGACTTAAGAAAACAAAAGATCTGAAGGATGTTTTATGATTTGAACAGACAGAGGCTCCTCCTAAAGCACCAGAAGGAAGATGTTCTCTAAACAGTAACCCCACCCCACTTTTAAATAATAAATGATCCTCATTTATTACTAGGGAAAAAAACAGATTAGCCACCTGTTTTTTCACTGGGTGAAACTGTGTCAAAAATGCCTTGTTCTGAGGTTGATCTCTTGCTAGATCAAGCAATGTGACCTATGTGCGACTTGGACCACTACTTGGGCTCAAAACAGGTCTCGGAACTGGTGTCATTGACTTATGTCATTTGGTATGCACATTAGTGGCATCTGTGTTTTAACCTCAATTCCCATTGCTACATAGGTCTGAGGTTTAGAAGGGCATCTGAGTTGAGGGGTGGGACATGCAATGAGTTTTCACTGAAACTTTCTCTCTGTGCTGATGAAATTCATGCTACCTGAGTCCCTTGGACTGCAAGGAGATCCAACCAGTCCATCCTAAAGGAAATCAGTCCTGAATATTCATTGGAAGGACTGATGCTGAAGCTGAAACTCCAATACTTTGGCCACCTGATGCAAAGAACTGACTCACTGGAAAAGACCCTGATGCTGGGAAAGAGTGAAGGCGGGAGGAGAAGTGGACGACAGAGGATGAGATGGTTGGATGGCATCACCGACTCAATGGACATGAGTTTGAGTAAACTCCAGGAGTTGGTGATGGACAGGGAAGCCTGGTATGCTGCCGTCCATGGGGTCGCAAAGAGTTGGACATGACTGAGCGGCTGAACTGACCTGAGTTGCCCAAAGCCATAGAGCACTTAAATGTTGGGGCTGGGGTACAAACCTAGCAAATCTGGCTCCAAGGTCTGTTACCTCACCCCCGTGAGCTACCTCCTCAAGCCCACACCACTGCAAGAGAAGTCCCAGTGGTCCCTTCTCGATGTTCAAGGGGCTGTCAGTGCTTGAGGGCAGGGACAAGCTGGGAGAAATGTTTCCTTTTCACTCTTTCACTCTGCTCACAGCAAAAGTACTCTATGTGATGGCTAAGGTCCAGGTTAGATCACAAATATTTAATCAGTTAGTACTATTTTAGCCACATTCTGCCACATGACATATATGTAAACAAACACTTCTCATGCAGAATTGAAGCACATTCTTCAGATCCCACAAAAGCACTTGTGATTTGTTCACACAGTGTCCTCTTACCATCCAACCTGTAACACTAGACTTGATCTTGGTGAGAAGGGATAAGGTTGATCTGCTAAGTGTACAAGCCAGAAGGCAAAAAGCTATTACTTACTTATCTCTATACCCATCAGTATACCACAATCCAATAAAGTCAACAAAGACAATGAAATTGCTAGAAGAAGTGAAAATGCTAGAAATAAATGCTTCAGACAAGTTGGGGGTAAAGACAGTTCACTAAAATACCTAAGAATAAGTGAAAAAAAAAAATTGAGAAACTTGGGGGGGGGGACTCTATGTCCCCTTCTGATGCCTATGTCAGAAGCTTTCTCCTTTTTCACTGTAACAGAACTTCTGCCACACAAAAGCTCTGAATAATCAAGCCTGGTCCCTAATCCTGAAGCTAAATCTTCTTTGGCGATCACTAATCTGACACACTGTTCACCATAAGCAATCAACTTGGGGGCTTGTCTGGGATCTTCAAGACAAACTTTCAGCTTTTCAACCTCCTCATCGGTGAAAGGCTTCACATGGTGGGTTCCTCTGCTTCAAGGAAAGGACTTTGTTCAACTCTGCAAATACCTTCACCAACAACAATCATATGTGATACCCTTTCTTGATCTGATGACATCTAACATCCTAAGATGGACTGGTATAACACACTGTACCTTAACTATGGACATAATGTGACTTTTAATTTTCACTATGTTTTAACTTAGCTTAATGACTATTTTGCCTTACATCTGTAACTGTATAACAGGGTTTGTTTCTAGCTGTCCAAAAGCTTTTAGGTTACAAATAATTGTTCATACCCCTACAATTTCTACAGCCTCCTCCAACTATTACTTGGGGCCCCTGGATCAGAAACCCTCAATATGAGCATTAGGAGAATATGCTGCCTCAACAATTTAGGGTCTGTCTGCCTCCCTTACCAGCTCGAAGAAGTTATGAAATGAGAATGCCACCCCTTTCCCTTGGCAACATAATTCTCCTAAAAGAAAAAGGGGGGAATGAGAGAGCTAATTCTTAGGTAGGTTGATAAGGAGTCTAGGGCCCTCAAGGAGGAAGGGGTCCAGGGCTTTCAAGGAGGAGAAAAGAACAAACCATTTTTTCTACATTGCTTTGTCTTAGTGACATAAGAGACTTCCCTGATGGCTCAGACAGTAAAGTGTCTGCCTACAACACGGGAGACCCAGGTTCGATCCCTGGGTGGGGAAGATCCTCTGGAGAAGGAAATGGCAACCCACTCCAGTACTCTTGCCTGGAAAATCCCAGGGACCAAGGAGCCTGGTAGGCTATAGTCCATGGGTTGCATGAGTCAGACAAGACTGAGCCACTTTACTTACTTAGTCACATAAGACATTTTTTCTTAAACTCTGAGTTGTTTTGACAATAATCTTGAAGACTAACTTTCTTTCAGCCCAGAACTGATGATTACAAAACAAAACAACACATCTTGCTCAAGGGTGTTTTTTTTTTCTTTAAGATGCCAGTACTAATGATTATATAACAAGATGTATCTTGCTCAAGGACATGTTTCATATAATAACAATGTATCTTGCTCAAGAATATGTTTCTCCTTGTAACAAGAACTTTCTACTAATCTTATGTGGGAGTGGGGCTGGTAAGACCTTTCTATTGTTAGTTCTAATCTTGTTAATTTAAGATGTATGTTGTGGGAGTGGGTCTGGTAAAAGTATATAAGGCCTTGATAAGACTATCAAGAAGGGGCACTCTCTATCCCCTCTTCTGATGTCTATGTGTCTGTCAGAAACTTTGTCCTTTTTCAATGTAATGAAACTTCTGCCAGACACACAAAAAATTGAGAAACTTGGGAATTTTCTCAAACTCTTCCAAAAGACTGAAGAGGAAGGAACACCTCCAAGCACATTCTAGGAAGCCACCATCACCCTGATACCAAAACCATACAAAGATATCATCAAAAAAGAAAAGTACAGGCCAGTATCTCTGATGAATATAGACACCAAAATTCTCAACTTATTAGCAAACCAAATCCAACAACACATAAAAAAAATCATACACCATCACAAGTGGTGAATCCCAGGTTCATAAGGATGGTTCACCATATGCAATCAATGTAATACACCACATTAATAAAAGTCAGAAACCACGTGATCATCTCAATAGTTGCAGAAAAAGCATCCAACAAAATTCAATCCCCCCCGCCCAGAGCCTCTTATATAGAGTGAAGTAATAAGTCAGAAAGCAAAAACAAGTATTGTATATTACTCCAAATATATGAAACCTAGAAAAATGGTACTGATGAACCCGGTAGAGAACGGACTTGTGGACACAGCGGGGGAAGGTGAAGGTGGGACAAATTTAAGAAAGGAGCATTGAAGTATATACACAACCATGTGTAAAATAGAGGGAAATTGTAAATAACATGGGGAACCCAGCCTGGCACTCCATGATGACCTAAAGGGGTGGGATAGGAGGAGGGGAGGGAGGGAAGGGATATATATATGACTGATTCACGCTGTTGTACAGCAGAAACCAACACACTATAAAGCAATTTTCCACCAATTAAACAATTTTTAAAAAATTCAACATCCATTCATGATAAAAAGTCTTACCAAAGTGGATATACAGGGAACATATTTCAAAATAGTAAAAGCTATTTATTAATAGCCAATATTAACACTGAATGGTGACAAGTTGAAAGCCTTCCTGCTAAAATCTGGAACAAGACAAGGATGGTCACTCTCACCACTTCTTTTCAATGTAGTATTGGAAGCTCTAGCCACAACAATCAAACAAGAACAAGAAATAAAAGGTATCCAAATTGAAAGGGAAGAGATAAAATGATCGCTATATGCAAATGACATGCTGCTATATATAGAAAACTCCAAAGACGCCACAAAAAGACTAAGAAAAGTGATAACCAAATTCAGCAAGGTAGGCAGATACAAGACTAACATGCAGAAATCTGTTCCATTTCTTTACACTAAAAATATCAGAAAGAGAATGTAAAAATAAATAACAGTATCTCTTAAAAACTAAAATTCCAAGGAATAAACCTATGAAGACCTACAAGACTTTCTAGAATTAACACCAAAAAAAAAAAAAAAGATGTCCTTTTTATCATAGGAGAATGGAATGCAAAAGTAGGAAGTCAAGAGATACCAGGAGTAACAGGCAAGTTTGGCTTTGGAGTACAAAATGAAGCAGGGTAAAGGCTAACAGAGTTTTGCCAAGAGAACACACTGGTCATAGCAAACAACCTCTTCCAGCAACACGAGATGACCTCTACCCATGGACATCACCAGACAGTCAATACTGAAATCAGATTGATTATATTCTTTGCAGCCAAAGATGGAGAACCTCTATACAGGCAGCAAAAACAAGACCAGGAGCTGACTGTGGCTCAGATCATGAACTCCTTATTGCAAATTCTGACTTAAATTGAAGAAAGTAGGGAAAACCACTAGACCATTCAGGTGTGACCTAAATCAAATCCCTTATAATTATACAGTAGAAGTGACAAAGAGATTCAAGGGATTAGATTTGATAGACAGTGTGCCTGAAGAGCTATGGATGGAGGTTCTTAACACTGTACAGAAGGCAGTGATCAAAACCATACTCAAGAAAAAGAAATACAAAAAGGCAAAATGGTTGTCTGAGGAGGGCTTACAAACAGCTGACAAAAGGACTGAAGTGAAAGGCAAAAGAGAAAAGGAAAGTTATACCCATCTGAATGCAAAATTCCAAAGAATAGCAAGGAGAGATAAGAAAGCCTTCTTAAGTGAACAACACATATAAATAGAGGAAAACAGAATGGGAAAGATTAGACATCTCCTCAAGAAAATCAGACATACCAAAGGAACATTTCATGCAAAGACACAATAAAGGACAGAAATGGCATGAACGGAACAGAAACAGAAGACATTAAGAAGAGGTGGCAAGAATACACAGAAGAGCTGTACAAAAAAGATCTTTATGACCCAGATAACCATGATGGTATACTCACCTAATGCCAGACATCCTGGAATGCAAAGTCAAGTGGGCCTTAAGAAGCATCACTATGAGTCCGACCCTCGGATCCGCCGCGTGAGGAGCCAGCGGAGCGGGGCTCGGCGCGGAGACACGAGCCGCACCCGAGGGGCGGCCCGGCTGAAAGAGGCCGCCGCGGGCCCGGCCTCAGGATGAACCGCGGCCATCGGCACGGGGCGGGCAGCGGCTGCCTGGGCACCATGGAGGTGAAGAGCAAGGATGGGAGTCAGGCCCGAGGCATACCCGAGGATGGGGGGACATTTGAGCGAGCGCAGCGTGGTACGAAAGGTTTGGAGGAATTCTGCCTTCTGGCCTTTTGGAGCTGAATTTCGTCAGTTTTCACTGGAAAGATCAAAACCTGGAAAGTTTGAGGAGTTTTATGGATTACTGCAACATGTTCATAAAATACCCAATGTTGATGTTTTAGTAGGCTATGCAGACATCCACGGCGATTTACTACCTATAAATAATGACAATTATCACAAAGCCGTTTCAACGGCCAACCCACTGCTGAGGATCTTTATACAGAAAAAGGAAGAGGCAGACTACAGTGCTTTTGGTACAGACACCCTCATCAAGAAGAAGAATGTTCTCACCAACGTGTTGCGGCCCGACAACCACAGAAAAAAGCTGCACATAGTCATTAGCCTGCCCCAGGACTTCCGGCCTGTGTCTTCCATCATTGACGTGGACATTCTCCCGGAAACACACCGCCGGGTGCGTCTCTACAAGTACGGCACAGAGAAACCGCTAGGCTTCTACATCCGGGACGGGGCCAGCGTCCGGGTGACCCCGCATGGCCTGGAGAAGGTCCCGGGCATCTTCATCTCCAGACTCGTGCCGGGGGGCCTGGCTCAGAGCACGGGGCTGCTGGCTGTCAACAACGAAGTCCTGGAGGTGAACGGCATTGAAGTATCCGGGAAGAGCCTTGACCAGGTCACCGACATGATGATCGCCAACAGCTGCAACCTCATCATCACGGTGCGGCCGGCCAACCAGAGGAACAACGTCGTCCGGAATAGTCGGACTTCGGGCAGCTCCGGCCAGTCGACCGACAACAGCCTCCCCAGCTGCGCGCCGCCACCGGAGCCCAGCCTGGAGCTGGGGGAGGAGGACAGCGACGATGACGACATCGTCATTGAGGACAGCGGGGAGCCGCGGCAGATCCCCAGGGCCGCGAGAGCCTCGAGTCGCTCACGCAGGTAGAACTCAGTTTCGAGTCTGGGCAGAACGGTTTCATCCCTGCTAACGAGGTGAGCTTACCACCGGTAGCAAGTGGCGCCCGCACCGAGTTCGAAACAAGTGCTCCAGACCAGAAACTCTTAGAGGAAGATGGAACAGTCATCACACTATGAGACCCTCACGGCTTGAATGTCTTCTGAGCAACGATGCCACGGAGACTCTGTAAATTTGGCTAGTTGCAAGCATTATACACCGAGTTCGAAACAAGTGCTCCAGACCAGAAACTCTTAGAGGAAGATGGAACAGCCATCACACTATGAGACCCTCACGGCTTGAATGTCTTCTGAACAAGGATGCCACGGAGACTCTGTAAATCTGGCTAGTTGCAAGTATTATATACCTCTGAACAAGTGATCTGGGATAGGCATGAAAAAATATATATATATATATCACAAGCTTAAAAATGTTATTGAAATAGTAGTTTGATAATTCATATAAACTTTGGTGGGTTAGAGGTAAATTCAAGTCTAAAACAGAGGGGCCTTTGCTACTGAAATGATGTGCTTTTGCTATTTTGTCTATAGAGAACTGGATGTTAGAGCACATTTCCCCAGAACTAAACACCCTAAGGACTAGATCATTTCCGTTTGAAGTGGTTGCATATTAACCTGCTGTGCAGAGCCTGGTTAATTTTTCCCTTAACTATATTTTTTAATTTCTAATGTGAAGAAGTCTTATCTNCAGAATACTTCATCGTATTTTGTTCACATTGTATCACTAAACGTATTATCACTAAACTATTAACTGCGCAATGTTATGTAACAGTATACTTTTTGTTGAACTCATAGAAATTCTTCCACTTATTTAACCACTATTTTTTAGTGGCGTTCCAGGTTTAACATTCTGTTGAGTTTTACAAATTTAACTCTTGAATGGCAAAATTTAGTAAGTAGAAGGTTACATTTCATTTATATTACAAGTGGTGCAGGGGTTCAACATTTTGAGTAAAAATACTTTCACATACTACCTCTCTTTCTCTCTCTCTCTCTCTCTGTTTTTTTTTTAAACAAAGTTTTAACATCAGAACTGTTCTCTTAGGGGAAGAAATACTTCAGGGCTTGACTTTTTGAACAACTTTTAACTGTAAAAATATAGATCTGTCTTGTATGTATTCATGAAAATGGAAATCAAAGCTGCTAGTGCTTTTTATTTTAATTTTCCCGCTAAAAGTATATGTCAGTGGTCTTTTCAACTGGATCTCTCATTTAAATTATTGGTGAAATAACTGATTACTAGACATATTGTAAAACCAATAGATCTTGGTTATACAGTAAAATGTCGATTCATTGGTAGCCTGAATTGTTTCAAGTGTACCTTATTAACAAAAATATCAGTGGATTCACCTTAAAATTTTATAGTACTAAATGTCAAGCTAACTGTGAATTTTGTTCTGTATCTTAAGTAAGTTTATGATAATGTCCTCATGAGCTATCAACAAAATATATGTACTTTTGTGAACTATGAATTTTCTAATTAAATTTTACATGCAACATGATTTTTACATGAATGATACTTTGTTTAAACTATCAAATGTCAGTATTTTACTGCAATTTTATTATAAAATGTACATTATCACTAAATGAATTTTGATTTTAAAAATCAAATTAGCTTTAGTTGTATATTATTTTTTACAAATAAAGATAGACTTGTAAAAAAAAAAAAAAAGAAGCATCACTATGAACAAAACTAGTGATGGTGATAGAATTCCAGTTGAGCTATTTCAAATCCTCAAAAATAATGCTGTGAAAACGCTGCACTCAATATGCCAGCAAATTTGGAAAACTCAGCAGTGGCCACATGACTGAAAAAGGTCAGATGTCATTCCAATCCCAAAGAAGGGCAATGCCAAAGAAGGTTCAAACTACCTCACAATAGCACTCATTTCACATGCTAGCAAGGTAATTCTCAAAATCCTTCAGGTTAGGCTTCAACAGTAAGTGAACCAAGAACTTCCAGATGTACAAGCTGGATTCAGAAAATGCAGAGGAACCAGAGATCAAATTGCCAACATTTGTGGGAACATAGAGAAACCAAGGAAAATTCAAATAAACATCTTCTTCTGCTTCATTGACTACACTAAAGCCTTTGACTGTATGGATCACAACAAACTGTGGAAAATTCTTAAAAGAGATGGAAATACCAGACCACCTTACCTGCCTCCTGAGAACTCTGTATGTCAAGAGGTCAAGAAGCAACAGTTAGACTTGAACATGGAACAACGAACTGGTTTAAAACTGGGAGTCAAGACTCTATATTGTTACCCTACTTATTTAACTTAGATGCAAAGTACATCATGCAAAATGCCCAGCTGGATGAATCACAAGGGAGACATATCAATAACCTTGGATATGCAGATGATACCACCTCAATGGCAGAAAGGGAAAAGGAACTTTAAGCCTCTTGATGAAGGTGAAAGAGGAGAGTGAAAAAGTTGGCTTAAAACTCAAGATTCAAAAAACTAAGATCATGGCATCCGGTCCCATCGCCTCATGGCAAATAGATAGGGAAACAATGGAAGTTGTGACAGATTTTATATGCTTGGGCTCCAAAATCACTGTGGATGGTTAACTGCAGTCACTGCTGCTCCTTGGAAGAAAAGCAATGACAAACCTAGACAGCATATTAAAAAGTAGAGACATTACTTTGCCAACAACATTCCATATAGTCAAAGCTGTGGTTTTCCAGTAGTCATGTATGGATGTGAGAGTTGGACCATAAAGAAGGCTGGGTGCTGAAGAACTGATGCTTTCAAACTATGAGGCTGGAGAAGACTCCTGAGAGTCCCTTGGACAGCAAGGAGATCAAACCAGTCAATCCTAAAGGAAATCAACCCTAAATATTCATTGGAAGGACTGAAGCTTCCAGCTGAAGCTCCAATACTTTGGCCCCCTGATGTGAAGAGCCGACTCCCTGGAAAACACCCCGATGCTGGGAAAGACCGAGGGCAGGAGGAGAAGGACATGAGATGGTTGGATGGCATCATTGACTCAATGGACATGAGTCTGAGCAAACTCCAGGAGGTATGAAGGACAGGGAAGCCTGGCGTGCTGCAGTCCATGGGGTCTCAAAGAGTCGGACACAACTGAGCAACTGAACACGAAACCTGACCAAGGAGGTGAAAGATACACTGACTACTACAAAACACTAATAAAGGGAACCAAAGATTATTCAAAGAAATGAAAGAATATCCCATGCCCCCGAAATAGAGGAATTACTATTACTAAACTGGCCATACAACAAAAAGCAATCTACTGCAAAATGTCTATCAAATTACCTATGACATTTTTCACAGAACTAGAACGACGAATCCAAAATTTTATATGCAACCATTAAAGACCCAGCATTACCAAAGCAATCCTAAGCGAGCAAGGGGGGAACCAAAGCAGGACATTTAACTCTCCCAGCTACAGTAATCAAAACAGTGTAGTACTGGCACAAAAACAGACATACAGATCAATGGAAGAGAATAGAGAACCCAGAAATAGACCAACACACCTATGGTTGATTCATCTTTGACAAAGGAGGCAAGAATATAAAATGGGACCAAAACAGTCTCTTCAGCAAGTGGTGCTGGAAAAGTTGGACAGCTGCATGCAAATCGATGAAATTAGAACACACCCTCACACAATGCATAAAAATAAAGTCAAAATGTCTTAAAGGACTTAAACATGGGCTTCCTTGGTGGTCCAGTGGTTAAGAATCCACCTGCCATGGCAGGGGACACAGATTCAACCCAGGTCCGGAAAGATTCCACACGCTGTGGGGCAACTAAGCCCATGCATCACAGCTACTGAGCCTGTGCTCTGGAGGCTGGGAAGAGCGAGCACTGAAGCCCACACATCTTTATGGCCTGTGTTCCTCAACAAGAGAAGCCATCGTGACGAGAAGCATGTGAACTGCAACCAGACTGGCCCCCACTCACAGCAACGAGAGAAAGCCCAGGCATAGCAATGAAGACCTAGCACAGGCAAAACTAAATAAATTAAAACTTAAAAAGAGAGAGGGGCTTAAACATAACACATGACAACATAAAACTCCGGAAAGAAGGCATAGGCCAAACATTCTGACATAAATTGTAAAACATTCTAACATAAATCATACCAATGTTTTCTTAGGTCTCTCTCCCAAGGCAATAGAAACAAAAACAAAAATAAACAAATGGTACCTATTCACACTTACAAGCTTTTACACAGCAAAGGAGACCATAAAAAAGACCAAAGGGATGGGAGAAAGCATTTGCAAGTGACACGACCAACAAGGGCTTCATTTCCAAAGGATACAAGCAGCTCATACAACAAAAAAAACAACCCAACTGAAAAGCAGGCAAAAGACCTTAATAGACATTTCTCCAAGGAAGACATACAGTAGGCACATGAAAAGATGCTCAACATCACTCATTATTAGAGACATGCAAATCAAAACAATAAGGTACAATGAAGTACCACCTCACACCAGTCAGAATGGCCATCACTAAAAAATCTACAAATGCTAGAGAGTGTGTAGAGACAAGAGAACTCCCCTACACTGTTGATGGGAATGTGAGCTGATGCAGCCACTGTGGAAAACATGGAGGTTCCTCCGAAAAGTAAAAATAGAACTATATGATCTAGCCTCCTGGTGGCTCAGCGGTAAGAATCCACCGGCAATGCGGGAGACCTGATTTCGATCCCTGGGTTGGGAAGATACCCTGGAGAAGGGAATAGCTACCCACTCCAGTATTCTGGCCTGGAGAATTCCATGAATTCCAGTCCATATGGTTGCAAAGAGTCAGACACAACTGAGCAACTTTCACTTTCATATGATCTAGCAATCCTACTCCTGGGCATATACCTGGAAAAATTATAATTCAAAAAGATTCATGCACTCCTATGTTCATAGCAAGAGCCAAGTCGTGGAATCAATTTAAATGTTCATCAACAGATCAATGGATACAGATGTGGTACATACATAGAGTGGAATACTACTCAGCCATAAAAAAGAACAAAATAATGCAATTTGCAGCAACATGGATGCAACGAGAGATGAAGTAAGTGAAGTAAGTAAAAAAAAGAGAGACAAACACCATATGATTGCATTTATATGTGCAATCTAAAATATTACACAAATGAACCTATCTGCAAAACAGAAATAAACTCACAGATACAGAGAACAGACATCTGATTGTCAAGGGGGAGGGAGAGAGATGGACTGGGAAGCCTGAGATTAGTAAATGCAAACTAAGACATTTAGACTGGATAAACAACAAGGTCCTACTTGATAGCACAGGGGACAATACTAGATCTCCTGGGATAAATCATACTAGAAAAGAATATTTTAAAAGAATGTGTATATTTGTATAACTTAGTCAATTTGCTGTACAGCATAAATTAGCACAACACTGAAATAAGCACTCTGGAAACTCAACCTCATTCGAAGATGAAATCACAGGTACTTAAGCACCTTAAGTAACTTCAGTTACACTGGACTCTCTGCTTTCATTTTATTTTTTTTCATTTATTTTTATTAGTTGGAGGTTAATTAAGACTCAACTTTCTGTAGCAGGTGCAAGCATTCAGTTTCTGAAAGTTCTGGTGGATTGGCTGAAAGGAGGCAATGAATTAAATTACTACTTTGTTTATTAAATTACTACTACTTCACACAATCATTTTGTTAAACAATAAGTTACTTAAACGTGTTTGAGTCACTTATGCTTGAGTAACAAGCTGGCTGTCGTCTGTCTTCATAGGACTCACATCCGATGTGCTGACTTAAGTGTTAAACCCAGAATACTGGGAATCTGCCACACCAGTTCATGGAACAAGAAACGTGTCTAGTCCATGACCTAGGAGTTTTAAGTGTTTTTTCCTTCACCTAACAATGATCTTTTTAGCATTAAAAGGAATAGGTTAAAAACAGAATGTCTGTGATGATTTTAAACCAAACACTGAACTCTCTAAGTAGCCTGTGCTAACACATCTGAAACCTGACAGATGAATAAGCACACTGGACCCAAGAGCCCAAAATGCACTGAGCACTCTGGGAACCTTTCATGATTACTACCGTTTACAGAAATGCTGGTTAGCTGACTTGCTTTGTTGCAGGGAGTGGGAGCTATTAAAAAAAATTCAGCTCACCCACAACCCAGGGTTAATAGAGAATTCTTAAAATATTTGTGTCTGGGCCTTAGTATACTTAACGGCACAAGGGCAGGCAACCAAAAAAAAAAAAAAAACATGCAAAATAGCCAAAAAGATGGGCAGCTCAAAGAACCATAACTCCTTCACTGTCTCTCATCCTCAAGAAAAAAGTTAAAAAATTATTTTTACTTAAATAAAAATGCTCTGCACAGTGATCAAATTCTGCCATAATAATCTTTTCTCTCAATTAGAATTTCTGACTAAATAAAGTTATACTCCATTCTTGTTTTATCCCCTTAGCAGATCATTGTAAGCCAGATCTGATTTGTTTGATTTGAGCTGTATTATATGATTTTTGAAAAGGCCAAAGTTTTTCATGAAGTGAAGATGAAGTGCCATTTGCCTTTCATGCCAACATATTGCCGGAAAACAAAAACCCAACCAAGAGTACTTCGGACAGTTGAGGGAATGAGGCTCTGATTTTTAACAATGACTTCTCTCTGCTTTTAGGGACACAGGGGTGACAGTAATTTGAAAACTCACGAATTTTCTTTTCCTGTAGAAAATCATCGATTCAATCCAAGTTTTTCTTCTTTAATGTAATCCTTTAAATGTAATGTTAATACAGGACTAGGTCTGCATTATGTTATATACAAAATACATGTATAACATTATATACCTCTATCATGTTGAAAACACGTTTCTGTTACCTACATTCAACTAAAAATTGATGCTACGGACATTAACTAGCCAAGGCACACACGAAGAGCTCAATAAATGCTGGGTATGTCATGTGTACAGGGAGAAATAAAGAACAGTGGAAACTGGCTGTCCTTCAACTTACTAAGGATTAATCCATTACAAGCTTTGTATCTGCCAGTCAATAGCACTCCTAGAGGGGCACCCTTTCTACCTTTTCAAACTCCCTTCCCATACCAAGCAGAGTTGCCACAAAGTCTTGGGAGAGTTACTAGAGCCAGAATTCCAAGTCTTGGCTGAAGTTATACCAAGTAACACTACCCCCAGTGCCTAGAGGTCAAAGTGCTCCAAGCTTAGCCTAGGCATATCTAAACCCCGGAGCCACAAACAACCTCTAACCTCACCCTCCCAAGCACCACGGCCGTTTCTTTCAGCTACTTTTACCCTAAGAGCAGGTGTGTAAGGGACAGAGCGTCTCCCTCTGGGTTCCGCTTGAGGGCTCCTGAACTGACTGCCAAGAAAAGCTCAAGGTTGAGGAAGACGAAACGGTAGGAGGCGTGTTTCTGCGGACACTAACCCTGCGTGAATCCTCCAGAGACCAGTACTGGTGATCAACAGGTGTACACCAAACTGGGCAATATGTAACAGACAGCAACTACTATGTAACAAGCGCTAAAGGGACAGGCCTGCATACTTGTCACTCGTTTAAGCCTCACAGCCACCCCACGGGGTAAGTACTCTCAACCCCGTTTCACTCAGAGATAAGGAAACTGAGCACCGACATGTTTCAGAAAGGACAAAACCAAAAAACTTTTGCCCAAGGTCACAGGATAAGCAATGGTGAAACTTCTGACTGAACGGGGCCACTCAGTCTCCGGATTCCCGGTCAAGAGAAACAAAGTTATGAAGTTTGTAAATGAGTGGGCCGGGAAGAGGCAGTCAACTGTACACTCGAGGAACCCCAAGGGCCTCCTTTTCTGACTGTAGTAAACGAAGGCGCCCTTCCGGGGCGATTCAATTAGCCCGACATCGGCAGCCGCGGCTGGCCGCCACGCGGACCTTGTAAAACGCCCCCTCCCCCGGGTCGGCGCCAGAGGCCGAACCATCGCTACTCTCGCGACCAGGAGTACAGTGCAAGACGTGGAAACGGAACAAAGGCCCGCGGCTGCACGAGGCCCGGCTTACTGAGCCCAGGCGCCCTGCCCTCTGCCGTCCTCTAGTCTCGCGCCCACCCCGAGTCGTTCACGCCGCCTCACCGGCTTCTGGGCGACGCCCGACAACACGCGAGAGACGGCGGCGAGCATCTTCCTCATGGAGCGCAGGCAGTGGCTGCAGCTGCGAACCTCCAACGAGCCGAGGAGTGCAGCCCAGGTGGGTTCAAGTCTCCTTCAGGTGCCCTGAGCGGACACTTCCACTTAACGGCGGCGCGACGCGACGGAGAGACGTCATGCGCCGCGCCCGGTCTCAAGCCAACCAGGACGGTTTCCAGGGTGTGCCCCGCCCACCCGAGGGAACGGCGGCCGGCCATTGGGTGTCGGAGCCACAGGCCACGGCTGAGCGATACTTGTGTCACCACGCCGAAAACGGGTGAGGCGCCGTAGACCCCAGGGCGCCTGCGTGGGAAAGTGAGGCCACACTTACAGGCGGAGGAGCGGCGGGGGTGGGAACTAGTTTTCGTACCCAGCTTAAGCCACGCACGATGGATACCGTGCAAAGCGAATCTTACTGGGCATCCAACCCTGCCGGTGCTGTAACAGCCTTCGCTCAACACACGCAATGATGAAGATTAATGGCTTTGTTGTTGATCAGTCGCTAAGTCCCGTCCTACTCTTTGCTAACTCAGGACTGCAGCAAGCCAGGCTCCCCTGTCTTTCAGTATCTCTCCTAGTTAGCTCAGATTCATGTCCACTGAGTTGATATGCTATCTAACCATACTTTCTAAGATTAATAGCTGGGTAAGAGTCAAAAGACAAAACATCTGGTTTCTGTAGATGGTTCTGCTGCGAAACTGTCTTTAGGAAATCGAATAATAGTTGTAAAAGGCTTCCGGGTCTGTCTGAGCAAGGCTCTGATAAACTAAATTCATATTTTAAAGTAAGACAAAACTTTCAACAATTTTTCTCTCTTGTGTGCACTGTGCATCTGCCCTATGCACTGATCTGACCCAGTGGCAAAAACACCTGCTCAACTAGAATGATCAGATCTTCTAGTGCCAGTCATGGAAACTCCTTAAGAGAGAACATGAATCTCTCAATCCTGCAGGGGATCACCATGACCCACCACGCACCCTGGATGTACATACATCTTTAGTGAAATTCACGTACAATGCCAATAGATCATTTCCTTTAAAGATAGGGACTGGTACAGAACAGACCAAGTCACAGGACCTGAGGAGATATGGAGCCACTCCTAACGGAAGTTCTCACCTTAAATACTTGGTTAAGACCTTACTGATCTCACTAGCTATACTGTTCATATCCTGCCTATTTGACGACATGATTGTTTCTTGCATTACCAGATGTGTGACTGAGCCTCTGATAAATACAACAATAACTAAGTGACTGAAGCCCCAACAATGGCTGTTAGACCTGCTCTGAAACAGCCTGAGAAAAATGCCCAGAGGGACCCAGGTGAAAAGGGATGGGTTTGTTATTACTGTGGAAAGGAGGGGCATCTCAAGTGGGATTGCCCTCAGGCATCTAAGCTGCCCCTGCTCCAGGTCTGATCTACAAAGGCCCACACTGGAGAAGAGACTGCCCTCCGAGGTGTAGGCCCCAGGTGTCAGGCTCTTAGGACAATCAGGACAAAAGGTGCCCAGGGGTCCCCACACAAACTCCCATCCTAATTACACCTGGGGAACCCCATGTATTAATAACTGGAGTGCCAATCAGTTGATTTCTTTTGGACACTGGGGAAAACTTCTCTGTGCTCACTGAAGCCCCTGGTCCACTTTCCTCTGGATCCACTACTGTAATGGGACTCTCTGGACAAGCCAAACGCCATTATTTCAGTCATCCTTTAAGCTACAACTGGAACTCTGTGCTGTTTTCTCGAGTTTCTAATCGTGCCAGAGTCTCCCTCACCACTTCTGGGGAGGGATATACTGAGCAAGATCCAGGCCTCTCTTTTCTGAATATGGAACCTGCTCTTTCTCTCCCATTAATTGAACAAAATGTAAATCTTAAAGTGTGGGCTGATGGAAAAACTGTGGGTTGAGCACAGAATGCTGTTCCTGTCTTTATCAAGCTCAAAGACCCTCATCTGTTTCCACATCAAAAGCAGTATCCATTAAAGATGAGGTGTTAAGGAAGGGTTAAAACCCACCATTGAGAATTTAAAAATCAGGGGCTATTAATTCCCTGTAACAGTCCCTACAACACTCCTATTTTGGGTGTAAAAAAGTCAAATGATAAATGGAGACTTGTTCAAGATATATGAATAATACGTGTCTAATCCTTACAGTTTATTGTCTGAAATTCCTAAATGAGCCAAATATGACTAAGACAATTGAGAGGATTCTTGGGCATTACAGGCTATTGCCGCATTTGGATTCTGGGTTATGGGGATCTTGCCCAGCCTTTATATAAACTTATAACTGAGACTCAGTAGGCCCAAACCGACAAGCTGGTTTGGTCCCCAGAGACTCAAAAAGCTTTTAAGGCTCTTCAAACTGCTCTCTTACAGGCTTCAACTTTGAGCTTGCCCACAGGATCAGAGTTGTCACTGAAAAAAAGGCTATGACCACATGGTATAAGGGTAATTGTTACTATTTTTCTAATGCCTAAAGCTCATACATTTACTAATGGGCAAAATTTTACTATACTGACTTCTCATGATATAAGTAGGATCTTAAGTTCAGAGTGACAATGGCTCCATCTTTAAAGCTGCTGTAACTCAAGGGGTGTCAAAAGCTCTAGGAATAGAATATCACACTGTTCCTGGAAACCCCAGTCTTCAGAAAAAGTCAAAAAGGCTAATGACATTATTAAAAGACGCCCGTGTAAGCTAACTCATGAAACACCAGACAGTTGGTTTAAAGTTTTACCCGTAGCTTTAATGAGGGCTCAAACTGCCCCTAAGAAGAAGGGACTGTCTCTATGATAGTCTGTTTTTGTGCACATATATCATCATAGATCCTAAAGCCTTAGAACTATTTGATTCAGCTTTCAGCTTTTCAACCTCCTCATTGTCGTGGCCCAGGCACAGGTTGGAAAAGAATTTCCAGACATGAGACAGAATGAAAGAAGAATAAAATTTATTAGAATGGGAGACGCTGTTAGAACGGCAGGCTAGCTCAAGGGAGTGCCGAACAGGGGTCCTTAGTCCACTATTATACCCAGGGTTCAAGGTGTGGGATAGGGGTCTTACAAGTCATTTGCTGATTGGATGAGGCATGTATACTGGGTGGGGGAAGAATAGGGCAAATACCTTCTCCCGATGGGGTAGGAGGGGAGACAGGTTATACTGTTCCATGAATAGTTACACCATGGGGGAGGGAAGGATGATAAAGGTCTGTTTTTTCTGTTCCTGCATTCCAAGACCCTCCTTGGTTTTATCTGCTCTTTCGTCCTTGGGTCACCACACTCATCAATTGAAGGCTTCCCATGGTGGGTTTCTCCACTTCAAGGAAAGGACTTTGTTCAACTCTGCGGATACTTTCACCAACAACAATCATATGTGACGCCTCTTCTTGATCTGATGACATCTAACAATCCTAAGATGGGCTGGTATAACATATTGTACCTTAACTATGGACGTGATGTGACTTTTAACTTTGATTAGGTTTTAGCTTGGTTTAATGACTATTTTGCTTTACATCTGTAACTGTAAAATGGGGTTTGTTTCTAACCATCTGAAAGCTTTTAAGTTACAAAAGGTTGTCCAGGCTCCTATGAGTGCCACAGCCTCCTCCAACTATTACCTGGATCAGAGACTCTGTATGAGGGTTAGGAGAATATGTTGCCTCAACAATTTAGGGACCATGCCCCTCAACAGCAGGAAGTACTTATGGAACAAACACAACACCCCTTTCCCTAGGCAACATAATTCTCCTAAAAGAAAAGGGGGGAACGAGTTGGTAACAGGCAGGAAGGCCAGGGGTCTCCAAACGGAGGAAATAGGCTGCAAGTGTTAGACATTTTTTCTCTCTCCCTTAAGCAGCAGGAGGAAACAAACTATAAGTGTCAGCGATTTTCTTCCTTCTCCATACAAAATTAAAAGGAGGTTTCTCCATGGAAATGTTTTTCTCAAGCTGTGTTAATGAAACTATGTATTTGCTTTGGAATTTGCCTTTTTTCAAAATGGTTCCACCTAAGACTAACTTTTTTTTTCTTTTCTGAAACCTTGGGCTGATAATAGCTCAACGAACCAGTATTCCTATCAATCGTTTTATGGCTGGGGGATGACACACCTCGTGTCATCCTATCTCAAAAATGCATATTGTGGGAGAGGGGCCTGGTGAAACTCCGTCAGCCTTGAGGTGTTGCTCTTATCTGATTAATGGCTTTGGAACAGATGTAAAACAGCTTGCTAAGACCAGCAGGAGCACTCTCCTATTTCTTCTGATGTCCATGTCAGAAGCTTTCTCCGTCCCTTTTTATACTTTAATAAAACTCTGCTATACAAAAGCTCTTGAGGGATCAAGCCTGGTTCCTGGTCCCGAAGTTAAATCTTCTTGTTCAGAGATCACGAATCCAACACTGTTCACCGTAAGCTATCACTACCACACAATTACACTCATTTCACATGCTAGCAAGGTAATGCTTCAACCTAAGTTGTGGCAGTACGTGAACTGTGAACTTCCAGATGTACAAGCTGAGTTTTGAAGAGGCAGAGGAATGAGAGATCAAACTGCCAACATTCCTTGGATCATGGAGAAAGCAGGGAGTTCCAGAAAAACATCTATTTCTGCTTTATTGACTGTGCTAACGCCTTTGACTGTGTGGCTCACAACAAACTGTGGAAAATTCTTAAAGAGATGGGAATACCAGACCACATTACCTGTCTCCTGAAAAACCTGTATGCAGGTCAAGAAGCAATAGTTAAAACTGGACATAGAACAATGGACTGGTCCCAAATTGGGAAAGGAGTGCATCAAGGCTGTATATTGTCACCCTGTTTATTTAAACTTCTATGCAGAGTACATCATGCGAAATGCCAGGCTGGATGACTCACAAGCTGGAATCAAGATTGCTGGGAGAAATATCAACAACCTCAAATATGCAGATGATACCTCTCTAAAGAGGAACTAAAGGGCTTGTTGATGAGGGTGAAAGATGAGAGTGAAAAAGCTGGCTTGAAGTTCAAAGAAGTAAGATCATGGAATTTGGTCCCATTAGGAAAAGTGGGAACAGTGACAGATTTTATTTTCTTGGGCTCCAAAATCATTGCAGACAGTGATTGCAGCCATGAAATTAAAGGATGCTT